CAGCCAGTCAGTCAGTCAGTCCGTCCATCAGTCCATCCACCGGCCATTCATCTATCAGTTGGTTAGCCAGTCATTTAATCGATATCGGTCAATAAACCGATCAATTATATTATTAATATCATGAGTGACAAATAACTCCTAAATTTCAGCGTTAATTTGTAATTTCGCATGTGAAATTATCCAGTACCCATGGCAAAGTTCAGCGCGAAATTTCTCGATACAATAAACAAGTCAAAAACGCAGACATTAAGCGTAATTTGTCACCCATGATAAATTGTAAGAATTTTGAAAAACGCGCATGAAAATTATTTCCTAATTTCATTTGTCACCCTTTGATTACCCATACTAATCACTTAAAATTAAACCATAAATGGATATCGATCTATTTGCAGGATTTATTGCGGACACATTTGATGGATACAAGTGGTCATTTACAGTTGCTGGAATTCTGATGCAGTTTGCGGGAATTCTTCCTGTTATCCTGTTGTGCCTCAAGACAAACGACGCACAACAGTCAGTCGACAGGCAAAGACTTGAACCAGCTGACCAAGTATAACGCAGAACTGGTATTCCCAGGCGTTAAAATTCTTAGTGTAAATTCACCAGAAACTGCACAGAAACTATTCTGTATATTTTTATCCCTCCGCCACTGCACCACCGCCCGATGTACTAGTAAAACAAATTATTATGCAACATTATTCAATCCCGAGAAGCACTCCCTATAATGACATATAAGGGTCTGAACTTCCCGATTTAAAGAGTAGAAAAGGGTAGGGGAAACTGCCACTTATCAACCCCTCGAAAGATCTCAAACAAGCGCACTTTACAGCTGAGTCATCGGAGTATTTTTTAAAGGTGTTACAGTGGAAGCCCTTGTAAGCGGACACCCTCGGGACGCGAAAAAGCTTTCCCTAACCGGAGCTGGTTGATTACGAGAATAGTTCTCGTAAGCGGCCACTAGAGTTGTAAGGGAGAGATGGCTGCCTACGGGAGCTTGCCCAGCTTACAATAAACTTTGAGAATACAAAAATAAGGAGAGGGAACTTCTTGCATTCTCTTACATAACAACCATGTAGGAATACTAATAGCTCTAAAATGTGCGTTGTAGACCACATGATTTCTCTTATTGCTCCATGCAGCTTTCCCTCTGTTGAGCTTGGTAGCCTAGCCCATGTGTATCACGCAACCTTTAATACTGCACTGACACCTGTTAACCCCTTCAAAGAAACGATGTCATATTAGACTATGAAAACAAACAGCAAAGAGTAAGGCCAACCGTAGGGATTGCTCAACGCTTAAGTTCAAAGTTTCGTCTAAACAACGAACGTTTTTCATGGAAATAGAGACATGACAAAATAAAGTGACTGAATTAATCAACTTGTCTTTCCCATCACTGAGCAGCGGAACAAACCATCAAAAGGAAAAGGCACAGGATCATAGCGGACTTCATGGTCAGCGAAAAGACCTTTACTTTCAGTGGGCTGACTGACGGTTGACTTTGTTTAAGGATATCATGGCTCAGCTAATAAACTATCGATATGTACCGGCCAGTTGAGTAATGAATTTCTGCCTGAAGTATTCTGACGTCAGAATCACTTTAAACCAATCAACATGGATTGCTCAATTTCTTGGTAAAATATTTCAACATCATGTAACCATTGCTTTCACTATTGCGTTCAACTATTTGTGATATTGTTCCCCTCGAGAAAATTAAGAATTTTTTCCCCTCATTTTCACAGACGGAAGCTACATTGGTACAGGTGTGACGTAGAATTCTCTCTTATAGAAAACGTCAAAGCTTGTTATGTAAAAATGCTACTCACAATAACCGTGTCAAGAGGAGATTTGATAGAAACAAAGTCGGCTATTATACTGATCAAGGATGAACCCTGTCCTTAATGACAAGCTAGTTATAAAAAATCTTTTAAAATGACTGAGCTTGATCGAAATAGCTTTTATTCAATTCACTAGCAGTCGCTACACTGACTTTGTTCAGTGAAGTTAAGTGTCTCTGTAAAATTAGGTAGCTCTTGTTAACTCCAGGCAGGTGCTTAATTACGTTTTCCGTAAAACAAGAAATGATAAGATCAAGCCGTGTTCCGAACCTGCAGAGTGCGCTTCTACAGCAAATGTGGATGTGAACCTGA